AGGCAGGGCTGATGAAAGGAAATGCAGATAGGTCTCTTGTAATACAATAGTAATTGTTATCAGGACTGGTTGTGAGGGTTGGAAATGTAAAGATAGATGTTTTGTTGCAAGGAGGGAAGTGATTAACTTTGCAGTCTAGAAGCGGAGGTCCCTGGGACCATCAAGGGAGAAAAGCGGAGAGCGGGACACTACCCAGAGAAGCAGTGATCCCTGAGATGGAGGCAGAGTTGATGACGTGGAGATGGAGCAGCTGGGGACTTTAGACCCAGAGAAGGAGAGGGGCTGTGTGCTGACGACCGGGGTGGGGGTGAGGGGCAGGCTTATAGGATATACCCTTTGGTTGGTTGATGATGCATGGAGGGAATTGTAACCATGGCAATGAAACGGTATATGATAGGATGAATGTTAAACTAATGTTCTCCCATGTAAACTATCACATAATTCACAATAGAACATTAAAAAAAAAAAAAAAAAAAGAGTCCTTTCCTGAACCATTTCCAGGATGCCTTGTTCATAGGAAGCGTTCCCTGTCCTCTGGGAGTGAACAGTGATGAATGCAAGCCAGGAAGTCCTGCAGATGTAAACTCTCGCATTGTGGATGCAAAGAAACGAACTGCTTCTCTCTTTTCATTCAAAGATGGAAACAAGGAGTTAGGACCCTAAACTACAGCACACTCTTCCCCAAGTTACTAATCTCCTTTAGAAAGGGGGATGAATACACATAGCTGTTTAAATATTAAACAAAAAGCCAACTGCCTTCAACTTGATTCTGACTCGTGTGTCAGAGCAGAACTATGCTCCACAGGGTTTTCAATGGCTGATTTTGGGGGAAGTTTATCGTCCAGCTCTTCCTTTGAGGCATCTCTGGGTGTACTCAAATCTCTAACCGTTTGCACCACCCGGGGACCTATAAATATTACTAGCAATTAAAACACAAAAAAGTTCATTTCTATTAAGCTCTTTGAGTAGGCTAATATTTCCGAGTGTTAACTGTAGAAATGATTCATTATAAGGTTGGTGAAAAGACCCTCACTGAGCTGAATTAGCTACAGTAACGGGCTCCTATGGTGAAGAAAGCACAGGACCAAGCAATGTTTCACTCTGCTCTATAAGGGGGTGCTGAGTTGGAACAAATTCATCTAACAACAACATGGATTTCCTATATAACTGATGATGATGCAGATAGCTTCTGCTTCTTTCAACAGTATTTTTTCTCTCTTCAGCCATAGGCAGAAAAAGTTCCCAGCAACACATTTTATTTTAAACCAGAAATTTCCTCTGCTTGTAACCACTTCCCTTACCCCTAGAATTAGGAACCTGGGCAGAGCTAACAACATAGTTGAGCACTTGTAAAACATCTTTGGGTTTGGCTGGCTTTTGACAATGAGCCAAAAGGAGCAGGTTGGAGTGCCCTGGTGCTAGTTTTAGCTATTAAAAGACCAACCACCAGGGTTGGAAACAGTACATAAGACATAATATTTATGATGTCAATATGGTGATTTGTACCCATATCCTTGCCTTGTGACAGGTTTCCATATCTTTGATAAATGATGCGCTTAGTCCCTGGTCAACCCCTGAAGCCTTGCTGAGGCTCTATAAAATACCCCAAATTCTTCTCCTCAGGGAGACAAGTAGTAGCAGAGATCCGTCTCCTTGCTTTCCGAAGAATGCAATAAGAACTGACTTTTTCCTCTTAACCAAGTCTGTCTTGAAGTCTTCTTGGTCTCACATCTGCAGCAGGCAGAGAACTTGAGTTTTGTCCAGCATCTGTTATAGTATTAATTTTATATCTGTTTCTTCTAGTACTGTATTTTTTCTTAAATTCTATTTCCGATTTGTAGTAGATCCTGGGAATGCTGCAAGCTGGACAGCAGTTACATTTGGTTGTGCATGGGGTCACCA